TCATCTTAGGCAGAGTGAGAAAGAGGGTGGTCTAATGCAGGTCTAGAAGGAAAGGATCTGTGGAGGAGGAGAGACTTCCTAATTTTGCACTTGATGAAGACAGATAACGGATAAGGAAAAAAGAAATCGCCACAAGACGTGGCTAAAGTACAAAGAGAATGGGAAGAAAAGCACAAGAATCAAAAAGGAGATGAAGTCCAGGGCATTTGCAGGGAGGGTGGGGGTGGGGGGGGAGGGAGGCTAGGGAGACAAGGGCTAGAAAAGGAAAAAGGTGCTACAACAAATAGGGCTCCCCAATACACCAGAAGACACGCTGAAGAAGGTGCCCCCAAATGAACAGGGGAAGAGCATTTTCCTCAGTAAGAATTAGGAAAAGCAAAGATCCATTTCTCCACATCCTGACCAACACTTGGCATTTCTTGTCTCACTAATTACAGGTAAGAGGCACCGCCCCTGGGGGTCTTGCACTGCATGAATAACACTGAGCATCCATTTTCTGCTCATTTTCAACAGGATTGCAATTATGTAAGTTATGGATTACGTGTTACTATGTTATGTGTTAATCATGTGAGTTCTCTATGGAGTTTGGATGTCATCAAACATGTGATTTACAAGTAATCCTTAAAACCTTAGGATACATTATATTATTAAGCCCACTGGACAGCTGAGCTTCAAAGTCAGATATAAGGTATCGGCTTGGCTGGTAGACAGCAGAGGAGTAAAACTCAGCTCCCTGTCAACTCTGGAACGAAGGCTGGGGCAGGAGCATTAGCACAGCGGGGAGGACGTTCGCTTTGCACACGGCCAACATGGGTTTGATTTCCTGCATCCCACATGTCCTCTTGATCACCACCAGGAGTAGCATCATTGGGTGTGACCCAAAAAGCAAAAAACAAAACAAAAAAACCCCAAACCAAAACCAAACCCCCCAAAACTTAAAACAAACCAAAAAACCCGCATGCTCTTTTTTTCTTTTTTATTCCATTCCCCATTCTGCATTTAGAGGGCACTACTTTCATGCCAAGCACTGTCCCAGATGATTAGTCACCATCAGCAGCAGCAGGTGCCTCTAGAAACCAGAGCTAGTCTATGGAATTGACACTTTGGTATATGTCAGTCATCTCTAATAGCAAATGTTACTAAGAGATGCAGCCCTTGGAGAAGAAACAGGAAACTGGGTGTCCAAAAGAGGGAAGTAAGTCAGCTTTGAGAAGACTTCGACTGAATGTTATCTAAAGTACAGTTCAAGAAATCAAAGTTAAAATAGCTTTTATTACACCCCTTTGAAAAGGAGCACGTTGATACAATTCAAAATACTCATAACACCTGACACCGTTAGTTCTTTAAGTTCTATTTTAGTTGTGGGATTTCTTTTAAGGAAGTCACAGAAAATATGGAAAGAGGGCGACTAAATAAATGTCTTGTCATTAAAAGTGCCTAGATGCAACTGGAATAGAGAAGGGCTCACTAAGTCAATGACGGTCGGAGGGATCGTTCAGGATGGGAGATGTGTGCTGAGAGTAGATAAAGGACAAATGCAATGACCTCTCAGTATCTGTATTGCAAACCATAAGGCCCCAAAGTAGAGAGAGAGTATGGGGGAGATTGTCTGCCATGAAGATGGGGGGAGGGTGGGGAAGAGGGGATACTGGGGACATTGGTGGTGGGGAATGTGGACTGGTGGAGGGATCATTGTATGATTGAAACTCAAACAATGAAGGCTTGTAACTGTATCTCATGGTGATTCACTAAAGAAAAAATAAAGTGCCTAGATGGGGAAAGCAAACTGAGTTCAAAAAGAAGAGGACAGTACAGCGGGGAGGGTGTCTGTCTAGCACACGGCTAACCCAGGTTTGATCCCAGCATCCCATATGGCCCCTGAGCACCGCCAGGAATAATTCTTGAGCGCACAGCCAGGAGTAACCCCTGAGCATCACCAAGTTTGGACCCAAAACCAAATAAATAAGTAAATAAAAAGAAGGGGACAATAGCTTGATAGCACTGGCTGTTAATGAATTTAAAGTCATTAAAAGCATAAATATGTGCTTACATAAGACTCAGAGGAGAAAACAGAATAAATTCCTCTGCTATGATTAGAAATTACGTCCAAGTGTTCTTTAAAAAGATTTCAAATAAATACTTCAGAATTCTATTTGCATTATGGAGGTGAATTACGGTGGTGGGTGTCCACTCATAGTTGGTAATGTCAGGTCCTTTACAGCATCTAAAGAACTGTTAGAACGGCACAGGCCTTCAAGATGAGAAGAAAGGCAACCTAGAGCTGGCTTCCAGTCCTGAGTGAGGACAGTCTAGGCAGGAGGCAGACTTCACACTGCTCAGAAACTACAGGAGTAAGATGAGCAGAGGGTGCCTGGAATGGTTCAGCTTTGGTTGTGTGTGGTGTGCCACCATTCCTATCCCTCTCAGATCAAGGATGAAAACCGGCTGCTCTCTGGGGGTCTAGTTAGATGTGCAACCCTGAGAAGGAGCCCTGCGCCGGGCGGGTACCTATATGTTCATAGCAGCACTGTTCACAACAGCCAAAATCTGGAAACAACCCAAGTGCCCTAGAACAGATGACTGGTTAAAGAAACTTTGGTACATCTACACAATGGAATACTATGCAGCTGTCAGGAGAGATGAAGTCATGAACTTTGCTTATAAATGGATAGACATGGAGAGTATCATGCTAAGTGAAATGAGTCAGAAAGAGAGGGACAGACATAGAAGGACTGCACTCGTCTGTGGAGTATAAAACAACATAACATGAGGCTGACACCTAAGGATAGTAGATACACAGGACAGGTAGATTGCTCCATAGCTGGAAGCCTGCCTCATGAGCAAAGGGGAGAAAGCAGCTGGAATAGAGAAGGGTCACTAAGAAAGAGATGGCTGGAGGAATTGGTTGGGATGGGAGATGTGTGCGGAAAGTAGATAAAAGACCAAACATGATGACCTCTCAGGGTCTGTATTGCAAACCATAATGCCCCAAAGTAGAGAGAGTATGGGGGATATTGTCTGCCATGGAGGCAGGGGGAGGGTGGGGAAGCGGGGGTATACCGGGGATATTGGTGGTGGGGAATGTGCACTGGTGGAGGGATGGGTGTTTGATCATTGTGTGACTGTAACCCAAATGTGAAAGCCTGTTACTATCTCACGGTGATTCAATAAAATTAAAAAAAAAAAAAAGAAAAAGAAAAAAAGAAACTCCAGGAGTAGATGTCATTCCAAAAGCTCCAGCAGGGGGCGCCTGCGAACCACACAGCAGGGCCGACAGCCCAGGCCAAGGGGACTGCCGCTGACTGGGTGGGGCGTCGAGGGGAGGGGTGGGCGACACTGGTGCCACTCTCTTCTTTTAAAATGAAGTGACTATTAGGGCCGGAGCAATAATATGGCAGGGTGTGCGCTTGCCTTGCACACGGCTGACCAGGGTTTGAGCTGCAGCATCCCCTAAGTCCCACGAGCACCACCAGATGTGGCCCCAACCCCCAAAATAAATAAATACAATCCCTGTAAAGGTTTCATTTTAAAACATTAGATTTACGAAAGAATATACAAAATACTATGATAAATGAGTGGTTTTTATTTCTGCCATGGCATCCCTGAAGAATTTTTCTTTTCAAGGGCTGCAGGTGTAAAAGGCTGAAAACCAAGTGTCTAGTCAATCCTTCCTACATCAGCATGCTCACATTCACACTCACTCGTGCTCACACTCACACGCTCACACTCACGCACACATGTTCACCCACATGCTCACTCACATGCTTACACACATGCTCACACGCACTCATGCACTCACATGCTCACACTAATGCACACACTCATGCTTATTCACACATGCTTACATGCTCACACTCACACACATGCTTGCTCACATGCTTACACATGCTCATTTACATGCTTACACACATGCTCACACTCATGCACACATTAATGCTCATACATGCTCACACACACAAGCTCACATACTCACATGCTCACACACGATCACTCATGCACATGCTCACTTATGCACACGCACACTCATACGCATGCTCACACAAGTATATACACATGTACACATATGCATACTCACGCATACTTGTTCATGCTCACTCACACACACTTGCACACGCTCACACACATGTCCATGCACACACTCATCCATACATTCATGCTCACACATGCTCACTCATGTTTACACTCACACTCATGCTCACTTGCATGCACACATAAACACCTGGACACACTCCCTCACACCCACATACACACACTCATGCTCACCCTCACATATGCTCACGCTCAGGCTCACACACAAACATTCACACAGGCCTCGGCATCTCTGCCTCTCTGACACCCCATGCCTGGGGGTGCACCTGTCTGGTGAGCTCCCCTGAGGGGTACAGGAAACAAGCCCGGGTTCCCCTCACTAAGCAGAGTAGACTCTCAACTCTACAAGCCCCTCTGAAAAAAGACACCCTGAGGCCGACTGGGGCGGGGGTGGGGGAGGTGGGGGGGAGGCTGAGATGTTCTGTGAGGATCCTCAAACTTGGCTCTGCTCCACGGGCACCTCGGCAGGCAAGAAAAGGACTTCCTTTTTTTTTTTTGTATTTTTGCTTTTTGGGCCATACTGGCGATGCTCAGGGTTTCTCCTGGCTCTGCACTCAGAAATTACTCCTGTGGTACTCAGGGGATCATATGGGATGCCAGGGATCGAACCCATGTCAGTCACCTGCAGGACAAGCGCCCAGCCCAGCGTCCTAGTGCTCCAGCCCTGGTAAAGTACTTTCCCTTTGGGGTGCCCCTGGTTCCCACCGAGTAGCTTCCTTTTACAGGCATCCACACCTGGATACTTTTCACACACATCCCCCAGGGGACACACACTAGGAACCCCCGAACAGAGAGCTACCAAAGGTCTCGTTTCAGTCACCGCAACCGACAGCCTCATCAGAATATTTATTCCTGCTGCACAATACCCATCCATTCCCCCACCATGCCAGGAAATGGAAAATTCACAATACCTGGTAATCCAGCATGCAGAAGCTTGGGAAAAACTGACAAATTCGGGATTCGAAAAAATAAGGGAAAATCCAGAAAATGGGTAGTTCTTTGAGATGATTTTCTAGTGAATCTAAAAAAAAAGGGGAGGGCGTAGAGAACAAGAAACTGATATTACAAAATATAAATAACTATATAAAACACACAGCTATCCAGAAAAAAACCCTTCTGGCCTTGGGGATATTGCAACTGTTCAGTACTTTGACGTCATGCCCATGGAGACTGTTCACCGAGAACACAGTGACTAGCGTAACATACTTTTCCATGAAAACACAGCTACAGTCTGCAGAGGTTCGCCTCGGAGACATGGCACTGCAGTCGACCCCCAAGTGGAATGTTAGAGCAGCCGCTCTCTGCACCCTCTGAGTGTGGGTCTTGGCAAAGAGGAGGAAGGAGCTCCGGCTCGCCCACAAAGTCCCTTGTTTGGCCAAGAAGGAACCAGACTTAAGAAAGAGTCTTAGAACAAACTTACTAACATTCTTTTGGTGGGGGTGGGGAGGGGGCTGGGCCACACCCAGCGATGCTCAGGGCTTACTCCTGGCTCTGCCCTCAGGAATCACTCCTGGGGGTGCCCAAGGGACCGTACGGGATGGAGCCCAGGTTGGGCGTGTGCAGAGCAAGCAAGTGCCTTACCCACTGGACTACCCTTCCGGCCCCTTAGTATCAGGGGAGGGAGGGACCCAGCCCTGCGTGCCCGAGTACCCCGCACAGGGGAAGTCCAGTGCTAGCCTCTCTATCTGCTTCCTGTATTAAACCCTGAGCTGAGGCAACAGGGAGACGGCAGCCACGTGCGGAAAGGATCTGCCGGAGCATCTGCAGTGGCTGAGTGGCAGCTGGAGGGAAGCCCACAAAGCTCTTTGCGCTTCCTCTCACGGTACTCGGAGAAGCGGACTTAAGCACCCAAACCGAGCAGGCAGTCAACACTCAGGGCCCGGTGCGATCTCATTTACGCTCTGTTCCCAATGTACATTATTTATGTAGCACAATTAATGGAGAAGTTTGATCACAAACTCCTGACACTTCGTTTATCAGCTAGCAGGCTGGAAATGGGGGGGGAAAAAGGCGGCTCTACTGATTAATTAGATGATTATATTAAAAATACTCTGAAGCCCATCTTAAATCATATCCCCAATCCAGGGGGTACTGGTGGTTGATGGTCACCGTGGGTGTGGGTGTCCGTGGGTCCCTGGTAAGGCCCCAGGCAGTCACTGGAGGTTCTCTCTCCCCACCCACCTCCTGTCATCAGTTCAGAGCTCTGGCCCAGCATGGGGAGGCCCCGTAGAGTTCCGGGCGAGGCTTCCCGACGCCGAGAAGTAAGTCCCCGGGATGGAGTTGGGCCTACTGAGAGCCCCAGGGCGAGGCGTGCATCAGCGCTCGTGTGCAGGTAAATGGCAACCACTGGCCAGGCTTCATGACATCCTCTGATGTTCAAATATTTTACCTACCAAACAGTCCTGAAAATACACGGGGGCCTGGAGAGCTAGTGCAGTGGCTCAGACACTTCCTGCTACCCAGCCGTTCTCCGTTTCCATGCCCAGCTCCCCGGAAGATTCCCCAAGTGGAAATGATCCTTGAGCACAGAGCCAGGAATCAGCCCTGAGCACCGCTGGGTGCGTGTACTGCTGCCGGACCTCCACCAGTAAACAAATAAAAACATGTGACTTGGCCAGTACAAAGTGTATCGTAATAATAAAATTTGCCACATCATGAAATAAATCTGTTTTTTGAAAGAGAACAAGAACTCGAGGCATGTCTATGTTATCGGCACTCCGACTCTTGGGGGGCTGTTAATCTTTGACAAGTACATATATTGAGAAACGCTTCGTTTGCAGTAAAGTGACAAAACTCACACCTTGGCTTTGACCTTCTCTCCACATAGCAATGAACTTCTTAAATGTGGCAGCCAGAGGCTCCACCAGGCCACCGAAAGGAGGGTCAGTCACCAGGATGACGCCTTCACCATTATCTTCCTGTAGAAATGTCCTGCAGATGTCCAGGGCAGCCTGGGACAGAGAGAAATTCCTTTCTGAATGAGCACTGGACAGAGGCACTTGCTCCGGACAGGGGAGAGCGTGCCCTGGGGCTCCCTTCACTCTCAGAAAGGAACTGCAGCCCACCTGCCGCCACCTCACCCCGCCCCCACCCACTGCCCCCATACCTCTGAAGCCTCCTTCATTCAGGGCCCGAGAGTTTTCTCTCTGGGCTCCTTGAGAAGCAGGTTTTGCAAAGTGCAAATTCAAACGCCATCGCTATTAGAGAACTATATGCTACAAACAATTACATTAAATAAAACCAAATTTAGTAACCTGAGAGAGAGAACTCATTGGCCATGAAGATTTAAGATACTCAGCTGAATTCCACGAGCAGAAGTCGGGAGCATGCTAAGCACTGGAGTGCCAAAGACGAATAAGTCTTCCTCCCATTCCTCCCCGGTTTGCCCACTGCCATGAGTTCAGTTTAGGAAGAGCGCAGATTACCAATGAAGCCCACTCATGGTTTTGGTGACCAGCCACTGACAGACAAACTTGCACAGTAAGTTTGGAAATTCACAGTAAGAAAAGAAATTCACAGAAAGCTGAGCTTGTCCTGACAAGGAAACAAGGCAGCACTGTAGCACTGTCTTCCCGTTGTTCATCGATTTGCTCGAGTGGGCACCAGTAACGTCTCCATTGTGAGACTTGTTGTTACTGTTTTTGGTGTATCGAATACACCACGGGGAGCTTGCCAGGTTCTGCCGAGCAGGCGGGATACTCTTGGTAGCTTGCTGGGCTCTCTGAGAGGGATGGAGGAATCGAACTCGGGTCGGCCGCGAGGATGTTTCACTTTGCAGGAAGTTACAGCACAAGGCAACCATCTACTAATCATGGTCTAGAGAATTTGTGATTGTGATCAGTCAGTATCTGGCAGAGCAGACCAACCTGGAAGACCAACTGGCAGAAGATCACGCTGCTTAAGCACACTTTAAACTTCAAAAAACCTGCGTGTTCTCTACAATGAAATATATATTGCCCTGTTCCTAAATCAATCTAGAAGACCAATTCTGTGGGGCATCATAATATCCACGCCCGTTTGTCCTTGGAGAGTCTGAGTCTACCAGCAAAGGAACGGGGGCATGACGAAACACCCTCAGCCTCCTCCCTGACAAGGATCAGGGAATGAAGCACGCTCGATGGAGTATCCTAGAACACCAGAGCTGTTACTGAAAACCATCCACTCCTTGGAGTTGTGGGGGAAAAAGCACATAAGCAAGGAAGCTAAGATTTTTTTTCTCCTTTGGTTTTTAGGCCACACTCAGTAATGCTCAGGGGTTACTCCTGGCTCTGTGCTCAGGAAATGACTCCTGGTGGTATAATGAGCACTCAGTGCCCATGGACTGGCTAAGTGACAACAGTTCATCAGTTTTCATTACATCCTCTGATGTTCAAATATTTCACGTATAGGATTACGTGGAGTGAGCCCGGGTCAGTCACATGCAGGGCAAGCGCCTTACTATCTCAACTGCTCCTTTCCCTGAGACCTTATCCAAGTTTTACAAGACCAGAGGAAAGACCAGCTTCCAGGGAAGACTCATCATGATGTCCCAGCATTGGCTGCTGAGGGACAAGTCTGGTTTATGCTTATAGCTGCCACTGCTGAGGTCACGGGACAGTTCTTCACCTGCTGCTGTACACAAAAAAGTACAGGGCATTTTTAATTTTTGTTTTGGGGCCACAACCAGGAGTGCTGAGGGCTTAGTCCTGGCGCTGCATTCAGAGATCACTCCTGGCGGGGCTGAGGGGACATTCTGGGATGCCGGGGATTGACCCAGGTTGGCCACATGCAAGGCGGGTGCCCTACCTGCCGTACTACAGCTCTGTCACCCTCCAAGCTTGGCATTTTAGACTGCCAGCCTCTACATGTCCCTCAGCCCCCTTCACCGGAAGAGCCATTAATGCATATGACACTTTTTATGACCTGAAAAATATTACTTGCTAGCAGAAAATCCCAGATGGGGTTTTGGATTTATTTCATTTTATTTCTCGCTTGTCTGTCTGTGGGGAGCCACAGCCGACAGCACTGAGGGCTTATTCCTGGTTCTCTTCAGGAATCACTCAGGGGTAATTCTGTGGTGCTGATGATCAAACCTGGCACACCATGTGCAAGGCAACGCCCTCCACACCATAGAGTTTCTTCATCCCCAAGGTGGGGCTCTGTGTCAAGTATGTACACACCGTGGCAGAGGCGTCACCCTCCCAGCACCCCGATTCCTTCACACAAATCTAGCAGACACATGCACTTATCCATCGATTCACAGATGGCAAAGAGGTGTTCAAACCCTGACTGAGGAAGTTGAGAGGAAAAAAAGGGGCAAGTAGTAAAGTCATTAGAGAATAATTTCCTAGAGATCAATCTCCACAATTGCTATGCGATTAAGATGCTGCTCCGAAAATACAGAGGGGACAAAATCTGAGCTCAACGATTATCCTTCTGGGAAAGAGAAAATAGAATTCAATCTTGGTAGCGATTCCAACAGTTATTCTAGAAACTTTTAGGGCAATTCTATCCACTTTCAACTCTAAGTTACAGAGGATTCCTAGGAAAAGACATTACATGTTACTTTCTTGAAATCTATGAAATTGCTTGTTAACTGCTACTGTGTTTACATTGATTTTACTCTTGTCAGTCTTGCTCAAAATGAAAAACAGAATCCTGGCACAGAGTGACAGTACAGTGGGGAAGGCACGTGGCTGATCAGGCTTCAATCTCTGGCACTCCATATGGCCCCCTGACCCCCACCAGGAGTCATCCCCAGCACAGAGCCAGCAGAAAGCCCTGAACACCTCCGGGCGTGGCCCCCAAATCAACAAACAAGGAAAGAAGAGAGAAAAGCAGAATAAGAAGCAAATACTGGGCACGGCCCCAGAAGCACAAGGACTTTAATGCAGAAAACCAGCAGCTTGGAGCAGAAAAGCGAACGGACTATGCGTTAAAGCATGCGATCATGCCTGCCCGGAGGGGAAAGAGTGTTGCCCCATTCGCCCTCTCCTCTCTGGAAAGAAAGATGGCGGCCACATGGGAGCCTTGTGGACAGCAGGTATGAGCTGGGGGTCTGGGGGCGACGAAAACCTCATGGGAAGGGGGGCGTTCCGGCCCATCCTTCATGCCCTACCGAGGCCACCAGTTGCCCCCCACGAGCGGCTCTCCAGCACGGCCACGACTCCAGAGCACAGAAACCAATTTCTTAACTATCTGACTTTCAGTAGAAATATTTCCAGGGTCAATAAGTAAAATAGCAGAAATCCAAAACCAACATTTAATTCTTGAACCCAGCTGTAGAAAGCAAATCATTTCACAACGCTTTTTCAGTATGTCTGATTTGGGGAGGGGGGGTAAATCTAAATAATAATGGTGCATCTATTATCAAAACAATGAATCCAGTCAAAGTAGATAGAGTGTTAACTAGAACTCATCTGCCTCACAGGGACTGGGAGGGGTGGGGGTGGGGTTCTATTGGGGTTCGTGGTAAAAAATAAGTATTGGTAAAGGGAAATGTGTTTGATATTTACATGACTGAGACCTAAACCTGAAAGGTCTGTAACTTTTCCCACAGTGATTCAATAAATAAATAAATTATTTAAATTAAAAAAAAAAAAAGAAGCAAATACACGGACCGGTTCGCTCACCAAGCCCGCACTCTCCCTCCAACGGGATCTTGCTTATTTCTGTCTCTTTACTTGCCTGCATCCACTCTGGAGAAGCCTGTGTTCCCTCTTATATACAGACTTCTCTCTTTCTCTCCCCTCACACCTTTCAAGTTTTCATGAAGGATATCTTGCTTCACCCTCCCCTCCCCCCCACCAAATGCAATTAAACCAAGGCTGGTCCAGGACTACAGCATCAAGCAGAAAGAACTCTGCCCCCAGCCCTCTGTCCCTGGGAGCGCGAGGTCACGGATCCCCCAAGCCATAGCGGTCACCTCCAGGTCAACATCCCACCAACACACAAATGCAGCCTCTCCAAACTGCCCAAGAACGGCTCACGCCTCGGGGTCACAGCCCAGAAGGCCCTCCGCCTTGCCCTCTCAACACAACAGTGGTGTCTTCTTCCTTCCACGTGGGAAACACCTCCAGACCCCGCTTTCTTCCTTTCTCCCGCCTCAGTGCTCACAGGGAGGGCCCTGCTCCTCGGCTGTGAAGTGCATCTTCGATTCCTCACTCTCCTTCACGCTCAGCACGTCACTCCTCAATCCCAGCGATTATCGACCAGAGAAGTCCTTCGGGAAGCAGTAAAAAACGTCTACAGCTAACTGCTATTTATTTCAATACTTAGTTTTCATGGCTCTCGTGGCTGAAGCATATCTATCTCAATGTGGAATTGATTCTGATGGAAGGACTGTGCCACTGGCTTACTTTTTACTAAATCAGGGGAATCACTCAAGTCCACCAACAATTTAGAATTTGTTTTCGTTCCCTGAAGGCTTCATTTTTCAGTCTTGCTTGATTTTCATTCTATCATTAGCTAATATCTTAAAACATAATGCATGTAAATGTATACTTATGTTCAGCTGGATTCACAATTTTCAAAAAATTTATTTACTATGTAAAAGGTTACCCTACTGAATGGGAGAAAACAGTCACACGCCATTAATCAGATAAAGAGCTAATATCCAAGAAACATTAAGTACTGACGAAGCTCAACAACAGGGACTGGAAGAGAGTAGTACAAAAGTTACGGCGTCTGCCTTGTATGCGGCCAACTCGGGCTCAACCCCCAATACCACAGAGGCCCCCACGCCCGGCCAAGAGTGACCCCCTACCCCAGTCTCAACAATAACAACAACAAATAATAATAAGCTCATCCAAAAATGGGGACAGCAGATGGATAGAGACACTCTCTCAAAGACAACTTACAGTCAGCAGGCACGTGAGGAGTGCTCACTGTCAGCTACGAGCAGGGAAATGGCAGAGGGAAACAACAACGACTGAGAGCCTCACACGAGAGAGAGTGGCATCTCCCAACGCAACCCGAGGAGGTGGGGCGAGGTGAAACTGGAATCCTCTCACTGTGGGGGGAACGTCATCTGCCTCTAAGAAAACAGCGCCAAGACTTCTCAAAGAAAGGAAGAACAGAACTTCCCTCTGGCCCAGAGATTCCACTTCTTGCCCAGAGCGGGGCAGGTGCTGTCCCTTCTGGTGGTTGCCATTTTCTAGAAGTCAGCAAGAAGCTCCAGGTACGAATCGCGGTGATGGCAAATCCCAAGTCTCGTGGGACAGGGGGAAGTGGGGCCTGTTCCTTCCCCCGTCCCATGGGACCCCAAGATGATGCCACATCTACCCACCATCGACTTAAGCTCCCACATGGCCACGATCCAGAGGCACACAAAGGAATCTCGGACCTGAGCAACTTGCTGCTGCGATTTCTTCAGACTCTAATTATTGAAATCTTAGAATTCTGGGAGCGACATGATATTGTATCCATAACAAGCAATACAAGGGGCTGGAGCAATAGCACAGCGGGTAGGTCGTTTGCCTTGCACGCGGCTGACCCGGGTTTGATTCCCAGCATCCCATATGGTCCCCTGAGCACTGCCAGGGGTGATTCCTGAGTGCAGAGCCAGGAGTAACCCCTGAGTATTGGCTGGGTGTGACCCAAAAAGCAAAAAAAACAAAAACAAAAAACAAAAACAAGCAATACAAAATGCATTGTCTAGCAATTGCATTTTTGGCAGGTGTGAGGGGTAGTAGGACTGGTCTCGAAATATCAAAGGTACCTAAAATAGAGAAAGAGTATTTTGCAAATTGTCTGCCACACAAGCAGGGGGAGGTGTGAAATGGGGGGGGATACTTGAAATTTTGGTGGTGGAAAAAGCACTGGTGAAGGCATGGGAGTTTGATGACTGTATGACTGAAGTTCAAACATGAAAGTTTTGTTACTGTACCTCAGGGTGAATTAACAATAAATAAATAAGAAACTGTGGTCTAGATACATAACGTAATACTGTGTAGCTGCAAGAAAAAACAGTATCTTACAACCACTGAATCTCAATTAAAAAAATTTTTTTTTAAATAAAATCTTGTAGTTCACTGCAACTGGGTAGAATAGGAAAGTATCATGTTGAATGAAATAAGGCGGCGGAGAAGCAAACATACCGGCTGGCCTCATTCATCTGTGGTATGGAGAGCAAGAAAACAAGAGCCAAAGTAAAGTCAAGGACAACAAGCCCTTGGCCTTGGATCACCAGGGAGGGCCAGGCACAGGAGAGGCGAGAGGGGGGACTAGCTCACACTGCCCCACCCCCAGCGCCCTGGTGGAAAGCAGCTCTTGAGCCTACAGGTCACAAGTCAGGAGAGAGGATCATGAATGTGCTCTTCCACAAAAAGAGGAGTAATTCTTACCTTTCCATCAAAGAAGTGGTGGTTAAACATGTTGTAATGGCAAAAGCTATCTTCCAGATAAAACTGTGAATATCTGCAAAAGAATTATTTTTACTGGAGTTATGTATCCAATCACACCTAAACAGTATAATATTAGCAAAAAATTTAAACTATAAAATCATCCCTTTAATAAAAACAGTATCACCAATCCCTGGTTTTCTGGTTTTTGTTGTTGTTTTACTTTTTTTACAATAATACTTTGTAAAAGTATCAGGGAATCTTTATTAATGGGAACAAAACAAACTATTCCTTGGGTTTCAGAAACCAGTAGCGACACTACAGAATTCTCATATACATCTGGGCCGGAGCAACAGTACGGCAGGTAGGGTGTTTGCCTTGTACATGGTCGACCTAGATTTGATCACCAGCATCCCATAGGGTCCCCTGAGCACTGCCAGGAGTAATTCCTGAGTGCAGAGCCAGAAATGACCCCTGAGCATTGCTGGGTGTGACCTAAAAAACAAAATAATAATAATAAGTGTGTAAAATACATCCGTTTCTATGACCTAGAGGATTAAATATCAACTATCAGGATACGATTAGGTTGTCATACAATTTATACTTGAGAGAGGCTGGCAATTAAAATACAACCTAAACTCCAGCTGTTCTTGATTATGGGGTGCTCAGGGACTCCTCCTGGCTCTCTGTGCTCCTGCAGCCCACCCAGGCCTCCTGCGCCTGCTCTGGCCCTTAGAATGACTTTCAGGAAAACGCTGAACCAACATTTCTGCTATGAATTCCTTTCTGTGGTGAACAGAAGAGTATTTAACAAAATCTTTAGCTACTGAGATGAGTTTAATAAAATGTTTCTCAGTACATAAGAAAAAGAAGTATGTGCATTTCATTTTTTTTTTTACCGAATTAGTGCCAGAAAGGGGACTATTTATTACTGATGAAATCATTTTGTTCTTCTAACATGCTATTTTAAAATGCAATCAGCAATAAATGAGAGTACCAGCTTTAGGTATTAACATTTTATAAATTTTTGCTCATTTACTAGGCAAATTTCATACCAGACTATGGTTTAAATCTGCATTAATTTGATTTCTTGCAAGGCTGAATTTCTTTATTCCTTAATTGTATTTGTATGTCTAGCTGTTTTCTCTATGTATATGGGTCTTAATATCCTGTTGATTTCTAAAGACTTTGTATAAAATAAAAACCTATTTGTTATCAATAAGGTTTTCTTGCAAGGCTGAATTTCTTTATTCCTTAATTGTATTTGTATGTCTAGCTGTTTTCTCTATGTATATGGGTCTTAATATCCTGTTGATTTCTAAAGACTTTGTATAAAATAAAAACCTATTTGTTATCAATAAGGTTTTCAATGGTCATGATTATTTCATTGTTGCTGGGGAGACCATATCTGAAAGTGCTCAGAGCTACTCCTGGTACAGTGCTCAGAGCCAATGACTATCGGTACTCAGGAGTCATGCGGGGATGACAGAGAGGCCGGACTGAGGACTCACCAGGGGCTCGGCTCCGCTCATACGGCCCCCTTGGCTAGATCCTGATGACAGCAGTTCTTCGTTTCTATTTCTACGGCCAGTGACCTTCCCGCACCGAGGGCAGCACCGGGGACGGCTCTGGCTGACCCTCTCCACTACACTGTGGGGGGAAGCCCAGCTCTGGGAGGATGATAGGGGTGCAAACTATGTCCCTCACATACTATGACTTTTTGGGCCACGCCTGGTGGTGCTCAGAGGTTACTCCTGGCTCTGTGCTCAGGATTTACTCTTGGGGTGCTCAGGGGACCATAGGAGATACCAGGGATCCAACCCGGCCAACCGAGTACAAGGCAAACGCCTACCTGCTGTACTATCACCCCAGAAGTTTTTTGGTGCCACCTGAGCATCAGTTTCTCATCTATCGGGTGAGAAAATAATGAGGTAATCCGCAAAAAAGCTGAACACAGCTACACAGCATACCCTAAAATGTGAAGTACTTTTATTTTAATAATTTTCAGTTATAAAGATTTGTATTTTGATGTCTCTAAGGTTAGGAAACTGTGTCCAACCAAATTTCCTCCCTAAAATCAAAATAAATGTGCATACAGGCATGTATAAACACATATAAACACACATATATGTACACGTATGTACATATATGTTATCCTATTATCTTGTATCATCAATGTAAATATAGTTGACCATTTGATTTCCCTTTTTCTCTTTTGCATTACTTTGAGTATGAACAAAAGAAAATAAAAGAGAACAAAAGAAAATCCCTTTCCAGATACATTTCTACTACCCCACCTTTTATTCGCTCCATTTTTTTTTCAACTGCTTCCCAAGAATGCAATAGTTATTTTTGGAAACTAAAAGAGAAAGTTTCATTTACATGAAATTCAGCACAGCACACTTGGCCAAAGATTTCTGGGCACTGTGGACAGAGCCAGGGAGGAAAAACAAAGCCAAGAGACCAGCTCAAACCTTCCATCAAATACAAACAAGGGAGCAGAATCAGTAGTATCTTAAATTATGAAAAATCACCCAAAACTGCCCTCTTAAAACGAAACTGGACACAAAGAATTATTCTCTCCACTGAGTAAGGCAAACAAAAGCAATCAGAAAGGCATGCACTGAAAGCTGCCCGAATGGGCATGCACCTAATCTGGCCATTCCTCCACCTCAAATGGGAGTCGGTGATGGTGACGGAGAGTGAGACAGGCACACAGGAACTCTTATGAGCAACAACTGAATGGCATTAGTTCATGGGGGGCCAGAGAGAGAAAGCAGCAGATAGGACACTGGCCTTGCCCCGCTGGGAGGCACCCTCCCCCAAAGAGAAAATCCAGGCAAGTGGTGAGTGAAGAAAAAGGCTATATGTAGCTGGCCCGGGTTCGATCCCCGGCATCCCACGTGACCCCCTGAGGCCGCCAGGAGTGATTTCTGAGTGCAGAGTCAGGAGTAAACCCTGAGCACTACTGGGTGTGGCCTAAAAACCAAAAACAAGACAGAAAAAAGATGATGTATTGATTCTATTTTAAATATATGCACATGAAAGTTGGTAAAAAGCTGAAATACAGAATATTTTAGGTGACAAAATCGAAGCAGGACCCTTAGTGTCTGCCCAAGTCCTTTGACATCAAACACGGACTTCTCCCCGCCCCCCGCCCCCAACCCATTTCTCCATATATACCACAACTTGCTTGGGAAAAAACCTATCTTTGAAGAAATCAGAATCACTGTATAATTCTTAATGTAATTTCAAAGAACCACGTGATTGGAGAAACAACACTGTATCATTTTCACTGCGTAAAGGTGACAAAGGCAGAAATCTGAATGTTTACAATGATGGACATATAGTCCTGAATAATTCAGCTGAAGGCCGACATTTTATTTCACATTTTATGCCTCGAGTACTGAGCCACCTTCTACCCCATTTCTGATGGAGAGCCCATTCCTTTATTCAGAGGCCGGCAGGAATCCTGAATTACCACGCCACAGGGAAGGCTCTGGAGTGAGGCTGCGGCTCCCGGGGGGTGTTTTGAGGCTGCACGTGACGTGGCTTCCTCTTTCTACAGGACACATAAACCTGCCCCCTCAAAGCCCCACACAAAGAAGAAGAAAGATAAAGCCAGCACATGGAGGACACAGGGAAATGGCACCTGAAGCAAACTGCGAGGCTCAGGGTCCCAGGGGGCTCAAGTCTCCTACACTCCAATAAGGGGAGTCATCAGATTCTCCTCGATTTGGGGCTGGAGTGACAGGACGGCACGTAGGGCATTTTCCTTGCAAGCAACTAAGCCAAGTTCGATCCCCAGCATCCCATACGGTCCCGGAGCTCTGCTCGGAGTAATTACTGAGTGCAGAGCCAGGAGGAACCCCTGGGCATCGTAGGGTGTGGCCCCCTCAAAAAATAATTCTCCTTGACCTAGACAATTGTCTGAGATGCCAGTGAAAGATTCCAGATTTACATACAACAACTTTAAATACATGAATAATCTAGAACCCAGAGGTTAATTCATCTGGAATCTGTCGTGGAACAAGACAAAGGGCTTGGACAGAGAAAGCAGGATGATGAGGAAGGATGGCAAGAGAAACGGGATGCAAAATTGTCAGAGAAACAGAGCAGGTGGGGGACTGGCCTTGCACACCAGGCCCCATCCCTAGCACCCCATATGGTCCCCACAAGTGATCCCCGAGTACAGAGCCTGGAGTAAACCCTGAGCATAGTTGGGTATGGCCCTCCAGTCAAATATAAATAAATAAGATTCTTTTTAAATGATACATGTTTATCTCCAGAAGACAAATTCTTAACGTCTTTGTTTCTTTGACTGACTGGCTGATGACTGGCCCTAAGCTTTAGACGCGCCAGATAAGGACCCTGCCTCCGAGCCACACCGGGCCCCAGGGCAGGCCTCAATCTTTGGCAGCTGGGTTTTCTCATCTGAAAATGAAGAGGAAAATATTGCCTATCTTACAGGGTTACCGTGAGGGTGAGTGAGTCCTGAACAAGGACTCACGTCACCCAGGACAACAGACCAGAATCACTACTCTCAATATTAGAATGCAGAAGTTAAACTTGTACCCTGACACAATATATTCATAGTAACTCATTACAGTTCTAAATTAAACAACAACATGAATATTCTAAGGAGCTGGGAGATAGTGTAGGCAGTAGGGAGCCAGCCTGGCTTGGGCCCAACCCAGGCTTCATTAGTATGGCACGGCCTCCTGGCATCGCAGGATGCAGACCGAGACCCGAGCACAACCAGACGTGGTCATAGAAGAGCCAAGCACCACCCAGGGGCCCAGGAATCCCCAGCACTGCAGGGTCTGAATAGCTCCGTAGCCCAGGGCCCGGGCACTGAACTGCCAGGCTGAGTTACTGCCCCATGGCCCCTGGGTACCACTTGGTAGTAAAACAGCAACAACAACAGCAGTAAAGATGATGATGATGATGATGATGATGATGATGATGAAGATGATGATGAGAAGGAGGAGGAGGATGCTTTAAGAAACATACATGGCATTTAAGTAAAATAAATAGATATGGCCATTCTATGGAATATTACAGAGTCATGAATGGAATGAAATACAGTTAAACACAAGGACACTGACGGGCTTTGAAAGTATTTATGCCAGGACAAAGAAGTAGGCCCAAAGTCATACAGTTATGGTTCTATTTCCATGACGCATCCATGAAACACAAAGCCAGGCAGACAGAAAGTGGAGCAGAGACTGTGAGGGGAAGAAAGAGTTTAGGATTTTTTTTTTTTTTCACAATGTGATGGCAATTTTCTGGACTTAGACAATGACAATGTTTGTAGAGTCATAAACTTATCAAAAAAGAATAACAATATAATGTAAAAGTTCAGTGAAATAATAAAATTGAATAAAAGACACATCAATCAAAGAAAGATATTGAGTTCATCTTTAAGAAGACTGCATTATCAGTTACGGAATTCCATTTTGTCGTAGGTCATTCATGTCAAGTAGATATTAATGTGTTAGTAGCACAGCGGTAGGGCGTTTGCCTTACAAGCGGCCAACATGGCCGACCCGAGTTCGATTCCTCCGCCCCTCTCGGAGAGCCCGGCAAGCTACCGAGAGTATTCGATATGCCAGACACAGTAACAACAAAGTCTCCAATGGAGACGTTACTGGGCCCGCTCGAGCAAATCGACGATCAACGGGAGGGCCTTTACCTTACCTCGAGTAGTCCTACTAAGAAGGAACCAGAGTACAAATGATTTCTAAGAAACAGAGTTGCTTAGTTCGATAACCTAAAGGTTGGTTGGAAACTTAAAGACAAATTATAAGACCATATTTTTACTGTGGCATTTTTACACTTAATAAAATTAGTGGTGGGCTGAGAAATAGTATAACTTGCCTTGCACATGGCCAACCCAAGTTCAATCCCCAGCACCCTATAAGGTCCCTCAAGCTCTGCCAGGAGTGATTCCCATGCACAGAGCTAAGGGTAAGCCCTGAGCACTGCCTGGTGTGGCCCCAAAACAAATCAATTAACCAAAAATACTTTCCATGCTTTTAGGGGACAAATGAGTACGTAATTTCGCAGATTCTCTCTAATAAATATTGAACTCTATCAGAACAAGTAAGTTTAACATTAAAAGAAAAGACTGATTTCTTCATTTCTTCATTCAATCCTTCATCCAAGAACAATAAATACTGCTAATACGGTATCTTTTTCTTTTGGTGGGTTGAGGGGTGATGAGAGCTGGGGCCACACTTGGTGATCCTTACTTAAGGGATACTCTCGGTTCTGTGCTCTGGGGTTACCCCTGTCCACTGGCTGCATGAAAGGCAAGTACCTTAACTCCTGTACTATGTCTCCAGCCCAGAACACAGTACCTGATCATCTTAAAAACTAACATGGTGTTGGAATACTGTATGACTGAAATCTAAACATGAACAGTTTTGTAAGGGTCTATCTCACAGTGATTCAATAAAAAAGTTAGAAAAAAAAAAAGAAAGCTCACGTGAACTTCCAAAATGCAAACAAAACAGAAATTAAAAGTTGAATTGTACAGAATGACAGATCATAGTTGGACATGTTTGCCCTCCTGTTATAATCGAGTCTGTAGCTTCTATATTATCTCCAGTGAGGATTCCACCCGGGTAATTTATCGGGCTTATCAGCTGTTTCTTATTTTGACCCTCTCCCATAAAGTGCAGGTCTGACCTGTCTCTCCCTAGACGGCGCTCCCTTTCACGCCAAGCTATGGCCAGTGCAAAACAACAGACACGGTAGCTGGCAAAATACAGTGGAGTCAGGATGAGACCAGTATCCACGGCCAGGGAAAACAGGGGCCAGGAGTTCTGATCAATGGTTGGAATGAACCACAAGTGTGTGGGGTGGACGGCAGGTTAAGATAGAGAAGGGGCCAGACAATAATAGCTGGAACTGATCACGCTGGACAAGAACTGAGTGTTAAAAGTGGGTAAAGGTATATGCCAGATAACCTTTCGGTATCTATATTGCAAACCACAATGCATAAAAGGTGGCGGGAAAGGGGAGAGAGAGAGAGAGGGAAAGGGGGGAGAGGGAGAGAGGGAGGAAAAACAAAAGCACCTGCCATGGCGGCAGGCTGGGGGTTGGGGTGATGGGAAGGAAACTGGGGAACCGGTCCTGGGAAATGTACACTATGACTGAAACCTAATCATGAACAGCTTTGTAGGGTCTATCTCACAGTGATTCAGTAAGCAAAACTAAAATTAAAATAAATAAATAAAATATCAGAATGAAATAAAACTGCAAAAGAGATTCAGAATTCATCTTTGAAAATAAGTATATGAGAAGAGAGTGACTCAACTGGAATTGACTTCTAAATTACAAGCTAAAGACAACTAGCCACATTTATAATGAAGATGTAGGAAGCCTGTTTGTCACAGAGAAATCTACTGCCTTCCAATTTGATGTATGGACAATAGCATGTTGAATTTATGAGTACAAAGGTGCTTTATAACCAATTACCATTTCTGAATGTTAACTAAAGAGTCGATTAAAGGTTATAAACAATGAAAGAGAAAAACACTGCAAAAAGACAGGAGATAATAAGGAGAATATTACACACTATGGATGAAAAAGATAAAGAATATATTATTATATTTTATAGTTATATAATAATTTATATTATATTATATTATTATATTTTATAAACCTACCGAAAATCAATATCCAGTAGCAGGCTTTTCATGCTCGACTTCATGTCATCTGATGCTTTTTGCCTGATCAGCTCATGCAACCTACAGCAATTGGTGAAAGCAATTTCAGTAAGGAATTAAAAATGCCATAGGTAGGAACTAGGCAAACAACAAAAAGAAAACCAACCATGATCACGTAATATTTCAATCAAACAATCTGGCAAATTTGGCAGATAAAATCAGTGACTTCGGTTCTGCAAATACTTTTAAAAGGGCCTGACATACTGAAACCTAAAATTATAAAAACCATCAAGTCAGCAAGCATCGCCAATCATATGAAATCAATGAGGATTTCTCTCAAAAGCAATCCAGGCCTGTGACTTCCCTAAGAAGAGATCCACAGTTCCATACCGCCTGGTGTACTCAGAGCTTCATGCCCTGTCCCATGTTTACAGAGTAAGCAGTGACCTGGGACATTTTTCCTACAGTTTAAGAGCATGGGCAGAAGTGTTCCACGAATCAGACACCCTACCTTGGTGTCCCGACACATAGGACCCGTCTAAATCCAAGCGCGGAGAGGAGTCTGGCCAAGAACTGACAGCTCCGATCAGCAAACAAGTACTGAGCGTTGGTCTTCTTGTTCTCCAGGGGGTAAAGGAGGCGACTGGGTCTTCCCAGCTGGGGGTCAGAAATGTCACCCGCCACCTCGTGTTCCCCGTGCTTCTCCCACTCATCTGGCAGCAGCAGCTGTTGGCAGCTCTGGCAAAACTTTCTCTGGCATGAGGGCAACTCGATAAACTTCAGGTACCTTTAAAACACAGGAGAGCACAAAAGAATCCACTTGAAGCATGTTGTTTTAATAGTTAAAAAAAATTTTTTTTCTCCAGGCTTAATTCCTTCGCTCCTCTCGGAGAGTCCAGTAAGCTACCGAGAGAATCTTGCCCACACGGCAAAGCCTGGTAAGATACCTGTAATGTATTCGATATGCCAAAAACAGAAACAACAAGTCTCACAATGGAGACGTTACTGATGCCCCTCTCGAGCTAATAGATGAACAATGGGAGGACAGTGCTACAGTGCTACAGTATCAACAAAAGTATTATCACTTGCCAAAGAGGACTGCGTGAAAGAAGCAGAGCTAAGAAAAACTGGAGCAGGGTGGGCTGGAATTGATGCCTGACAGCCCTTCCTACCAAGTGGAAAAGAATCGGCCATTTCATAAGAATTGAGATGCTCCAATGTAGTCGCTGAATGAAGATCAATATCCACTTAAAATGTGAATATATTACGCGAACAACTTAGCAGTAATGGAGTCTACCGGCACATTTAAATTTATTGACAAATCTATGTGTTCTACCTGTGAAGTGTTAAACAGTCGGGCTCCCTGTGACAGTCATTTTAAAATGAGAAATTAAGATCATTCTTCAAGTCCTTATGGCACACTTAGCAAGAAAAATTACCTCCTAAAAGAAAAAATGCTCCCACAAAGCTCTATCCTTCACAGCACCGAGGGCGGCGGGAGGGAGAGCCCGGCCCCCAGGCGGTAGGGCACTCCTCGAGCCTCAGAAAACACCCGACTGGATGGACGGCCAGCTGGAGATTTTGCACGTCACCCTTCCAGCGGATTCCCGCGCCCCCTGCCCCTTTCCCGAGAGATGGTTGCAGAAAATCAGCACATTTAACGTGTCTTGAAAAACTGCTGATGGTGCATATGCAAGAGCAGCGACGAAGACCAGAAGGAGAATCCAGAAGGGAAAGAAGCGAGATTCGCCGGGCTTGCAGAAGGCCGGAAATGTCTCCAACCAGCGGCTACCCAGGGAGCAGGAAAGGATTCTAAGTTGGAGATGGTCGCGTCCATGCAACATCAACAGTGCCGTCCACTCACTGGCCTCTGCCTGAAACTGCCCTAAAGGACTGTCAGCTCCCAGATTCCAAGGGTTGTAAAAACTTCGTATCTCCAAGCACAGTTTCACTCCTAAGCACCCAGGGTAGTGACAAATAGATAATGTAAAGGATGGCTTAGGGTGCCATCATTTAAATGCTTCTATTTATAACCCTTCTCTGACAGTTTTTTTGTTTAACTCTTTTAATTGAATCACAGGGAGATACACAGTTACAAGGTTGTTCAGGATTGGGTTTCAGTTATATAATGTTCCAACACCAGTGTACATTTCCCACCACCGATGCAATGTCCCCAGGACGCCCCCCCCCCCTTGAAACCCGGCACTTTTCTGATTCTGATTCTCTCTCTCTCTCTCTCTCTCTCTCTTTCTCCCCCCCCCCCCTTTTGGGCATTGTGGTTTGCAATACAGATACTGAAAGGCTTTTATGTATATCCCTTTACCTACTTTCAACACTCAGCTTTGTCTCTGACAGTTTTGTGACTGATATGAGTTCACAAAGTAAAGTGCAGGGGCTGCTGGAGGCCGAGTGCATTGGTGGCCCTAAGCTACCTCCCATCCTCCCCAGCAGAGAGACAGAGAGACAGAGAGACAGAGAATCAGGGGACCACAATCTGATGGTGAAAACGGCCCCGTTTAATGCAGAGCTGCTAGCATACTTATAGAACATGAGGGGGCCTGAGGTAAGGACAGAGGTGTGATTGATCATTTACATAGATAAACACTTGGCAGAGGAAATTCTCTTGGGAAGAATTCTCAAGGACACACTCTGTCTCCCAGGGACATCTACATTGCTTTTATCTTTCCCTCTACTTGTATAAGTTATCAATATTTGCAGTTGTTTGGATAAACACAGCAAGAGACAAAGATCCCAACACTGAGTTCTCTGAGCTCTGAGAGCAAACAAGCCTTTTATCGTAAATCTCTGACGAAGTTCTCGGGTCAATTCAGCTTGCCCTTGCCCATGGGATCCCTGTCTCTTAAGTCATAACAGCTTGAATCAAGATCATGCAGTTATGCGTTCGAGAATGTACTATTTCAATGCCAGGGTAGCTTTGCCACTCACCCCGGGTCCATCCCACTCCCACTGTGGGACCTCCCCTTTTGGAGTGTTAGGAACTACAGCAACTGAAGCCTGTGTGAAGTAATTATGCCCAGGAGTAGATATATTTCATAGTCAATCAACTTCCAAATATTAGGAGCATAGCATTAATGATCTTTCTGTGTTTAACTAAAGAACACTGCTCGATAGTGAAATATAAAAAAGCTATAGGGGAAATAGAGAAGCAGGTACAAATATGCAGCATTTCAACTACAAAGCAGCACAAATACAAAGTTCAGAATTACCAGAAAGTTTTGGCTTAAAAGTAATTAAGACTGGGGGTATGGTGCCGCCAACAGGTCAACCTGTACCTGCGGGGCGAGTGCATCAGCAGCCTGATGGTGTCTTTAGGCTTCCTGACACCCCAAAATTGCCACTGTGCCTCTGGCTGAACTCCAACAACTTGGGACCAAGTTTACCAAGAAATTAAACAGCCAAAAGTTAGGTATGTGGGAGCCACACCCACAAACCACCTCCGGCTCAGCTAAACCTTTTTACCGTAAATCCTTTTTACCGTAAATAGATAAAGTCCTCAGGTCAGTTTATAGGCCATATTTATAGGCTTTTTTATAGGCCTTATTTCAGAGACCCATAGATAAATCTTGAAAGAGATCAAAAGCCACAGTTAATCTTGGAACTGCACACGGTTGAACAGACTAGGGTAAATTGGAGGGAGGTGGGTTGGCCTGGTGACCCACCCAAGCAGAGCCCCCAGCAGCCACTTGCTTCCACAATCCAAAATCACCACCATACCCCCAGCCTGACTCCACCATTTCAGGACGGATCTCATCAAGATATAATCTGCTGAAAATTCGGGTATGCGGGTTTTGTGACTGAAATCTCCAGGCTTTCACGGAGTTGGGGTGGGCTACCTCCCCTCACTTCCCAATACATGTGGAAGCACTGGCTGTCACCCCCACAAATCAACTCCAACACCACCCTGGAAACTCTATTACTGGCCTTGCTTCAGTGACCCATAAATAAATATTGAAAGAGATCAAAAGCCAGAGACAATGTAGTGAGTCCCAGAAGATACCACAGAGCCAGAGATCTCTTCAGGCCCCATATCGAGCCAATTTCACCGGGGCACCCCAGATGGAGCTCCCCGCCTACTCCAGATGGAATCCTGGCGACCAAGAGCTTCCACAAGCAAGACCCAGGTATGTGGGTTACAGGACTAGATCTCCATGCCACATGGCAGCAGAGGTGCCAGGCTGTCCCTCCCCAGCTCCCCGCCCACTTGTGGGCCTGGCTATGACACCCACAATTTGCCTCCAGGTGCCATCTTAGCGTACCAACAGCCCTGGTGCAGAGACACCCAACTGAATCCCAAAACGGATTAGTGCCCTACAGAAATGTCTCTGGAACCCAACTATTTACAATCTAGGATTCCAAAAGCATGCGGCCACGGCCCCTGTGATATTCAAAATGAGTAACGGACAATAAATGATCTAGCATCTGCCCCTGGCAGGTAGGCTTGAATGGTGGTGGGAAAATTCGAGCAAAAACTAATGCCCAAAAGTAGAGGAAGAGTATTGGGGAAATTGTCTGCTATGGAGGCAAGGTGAGGACTGGGATGGGAGGGGGAAGGGGGAATATACTGGGGATACTGGTGGTGGAAAGTGTGCAGTGGTGGAGGGATGGGTGTTCGATCATTGTACAGCTGAATCTCGAATAAGAAAGCTTTGTAACTGTATCGCACAGTGATTCAATTAAAAAAAAATGTGGAGTCCATGCCCAATTCAATCAACTTGATCGATGGCTGAATAAATAGCAGTACTCCTACATTAAAAAATAAAAGAAAGAAAAAGTAATCAAGACTGACTTAGGAAACCGTGACAATGAGAGGTAAAATACAAAGGAAAGGTCAAAGATAAACTTTCAGTCGGGGATGTTAGCAAGGGCATGAAGCTTCTCTGGGAGGAGGACAAGGGGCAATTCACTGATGAAGCCTAAAACACTTAGGGTTGATATTCAACAACTAGGAAGCAAAGAGAGAAAAAGGGAAAAGGAAAAGAGGAGAAGACACTTGTGGGACAATCCAAAATAAGGCCAGTAAGAATGGGGATGGGAGAGTTTGTGGGGATGGGATGTGGCGGGGCTGAGATAAAAGTGGAGAAAAACAGGAACTTGGCTGGAGTGGAATGCCTTATGCATTAATCCTTACCACTGGTAGTACTGTAAAACTCTAAGTCACAATGGCTAAAAGAAAATAAACACACACACACACACATACACACACACACACAAGCAGTTGTTTGTTTTTTTTTGGTGGGGAGGAGGAGGCGGGTAGGGTTACTCAGGGATTACTCCAGGCTCTGCACTCAGGAATTATTCCTGGCAGTGTTCAGGGAACCATATGGAATCAAACTCAGGTAAGCCTTCCGCAAGGCAAATGCCCTACTCAAGGCACTATACTGTCTCTCTGGCCCCAGAAATGTTCAGGGCTTACTCATGGTCCTGCTCTAAGATCACCCCCGATGGGGCTTGGGGACTGTATAGGGGGCCAGAGATCAAACCAGATCCAGCTGCGTGCTAGGCAAGCACCCTTCCCACTGTACTCTCTCCAGCTTCTTCCTGATTTCTTATATGTGACCTGTGTCACCTGTTTGATTCCTCTAACAGTCTTTTAGGAATCATTTTGGAAATAACCCAAATGTCCAATAGAAAATGAGTGCATAAAGAAGCTGTGATATATATATATATATATATATATATATATATGTATATATATACACACACACATATATATTTTAAAAAAAGGAACAGACATTAGGAAGGATAAAGTCACAAAAAACAAACAAACTGGGGGCCTGAGCAATAGTATAGCAGATAGAGCATCTACCTTGCACACAGCCGACCTGGGTTCAACACCTGGCATCCCATATGGTCCCCTGAGCACTACCAGGAGTAATTCCTGAGTGCAGAGCCAGGAGTGACCCCTGAGCATCTCCAGGTGTGATTTTTGTGTTTTGTGGTTTTGCTGATCCAAAAAGCAAAAAAAAAAAAAAAAAAACAACAACCCAAACCCCAAACCTCCAACAGAACATCAGGCTTGCTGGGTGCCTGAGCTCACTCTCCATTCAATCCCTAGCCAATTTTTGGCAGTGAGTGAATTTTTGTAGTGACTGAATTTCCAGCCAGTAAGCTCTAGTTCTCACTCTTAGAGAACCCGGCAGGCTACTGAGAGTATCATACCCGCCTATATGCCTGACTAGGAACACCTGTAAAGGTGATTAGAGGCTGCCCCCAAAGCCTCTATCCGTCTCAGAGAGCCCAGCAAGCTACCGAGAGTATCCCACCCGCACAACAGAGCCTGACAAGCTACCCGTGGCATACTTGATATGTCAAGAACAGTAACAATGAATGGTCATCATTCCCCTGACCCTGAAGGAGCCCCCAATATGTCATCGGGCTACACTTGCATGTGACAGGGATGAATAGAGATGTTACTGGGCCCGCTCAAGCGAATTAAAGAACAACGGGGTGATAGTGATAGTGAAGCAAATCTCACTGATGAAATGCCTTTGCTATGGAGCAACCAGTCTCTCTTAAATTCCCAGGCTGAGGAAACAGTACAGTAGGTAAGGTGCTTGGCTTGCATGCAACCAACCTAGGTCTGATCCTTGGCACCACATCCGATTCCTTGAGCCCCACCAGGAGTGATCCCTAAGCACCACTGAGTGTGGAAAACATAAACAAACAAAAAAATAGTAAGCTCTCTCTAAATATACATGGTATCACTCTAGGTACAAGATAGGGGAAAAACAAACAAAATGAAAGCCAATTCTTAGATTCTAAGAACAAAATGGTGGTGACCAGTGGGGTACAGGGAAAGATAGGTGGTAAGGGGTGCTAGCTAGGTAAAACTGTGGGGTCAACTGTGTGGCAGTGACTCCCCACTTGCAGTGATGATCATAATGTAGACCACCATGCACAGAGGTCAAATCATAATGTCATGCACTGGAAACCCAGCTATATAGACCAAAGCTACTTTGAAATATTTTAAAATTTAACTTAATTTTTATAAAGTTGTTCACAACAGTTCAACACACTTAACATTCAAACACCAATCCCACCACTGTGTACCTTCCCACCACCATAAGAGTGTGTGAAGATTACTGTATTTCATCCTGGAACCATTTAAACCCTTATATAAGAGATTACATGCATGTATGTTAAATTCAAACAAATGTGTGCTACTTTTGGTACATCAGTGGGCTGGAGTATAAGAGGTCATGTGGCCACAAATGCGGCCACATGCTTCAAGACTTTTCATGTCACTCTCTTCCGGGAGCTTTATTTCATAGTCTCTGGCTTTGACATTTTTTTAAAAAAGGCTTTTATAAAGCAAGCCATCAAAGTGCTTTGAAATCTATTAGGAAACTTAAGACATTTTCGCTGCAGCTCTTTCACAACACTCCTTTCCACTTAGCCTATATACGAACTCAGAATCCTAGGGAACTCAGCAGCCCAGAGGGAAGGAAAGAGAAGAAGTTTCCTTACAAGATAAGGGAGGCGGTTCAGTAGGCTGGACTGCACGCTCTCTGGGTCCACTCCTGGTGCTGTGGGAGAACTGTAAGCACCACCAGGTGTGACCAAAATTTGGGAAAAAGACTTTCCTTTCGAGTGAAAAGCAGAGTGATAGTATAATGGGCAGGGCGAGGGTGCTTGCCTTGCACGAAGCTGGCACGGGTTCAATGCTGGTACTACATAGGGTCCCCACTGGAACTCTGAGCTCACATCAGATCCAGAAGGAAGTCCTGAGCATCACTAGGCCGGGGGAGGGGGGGTTTCTAATCAAAAGTAAACAAATAAAAGTGTGGGGGAGGGGGACAAGTAAAATGCCAGTAGCGAGAGGAACTGCTCAAAGGGCTGAGGTGCGTGGCAAGCACAAGGCCCCGGGTTGGGTCCCCAGCAGCTCATGACCTCCTGAGCACCCAGCACAGCCAGGGGGCCCTCTGCCTGTAAAACAAGCAGAAACCAGGCTAGAAGCTCTGAAGGAAGCGTGAAGATCTATGAAACAGGAGTCAACAAAGAAAAACTGTGGCTCACGTCGTCTCAGTGAGCAAAAAATTTTTAACAATGCAGATTTGAAAAAAAAAAACAACCCAGATGTTTATAGCTTTTGGAAATGTTTTGGCTTTTCTTAGTATTTCAAACAAGAAACATGACAATAAATATTCATGACACCAGACTCGCAATAGATTTTTAGCTATGTCATCAAAGAATAAGTAACAACAACAAAAAACAGATAAGTTGACTTTGCTGAAACTGAAAACGCCTATGCATCAAAAAGGCACCATCGAACAAGTGAAAAGTAGGAACTGGAGATAGTACAGTGGGTAAGGCACCTTGCCTATATGTGGACAAACCGGGTTCGATCCCTGGCATGCCATATGGCCCCCGAGCATTACTGTAATTCCTGAATTTAGAGTCAGGAGAGGGCTGGAGCAATAGCACAGCGGGTAGGGCGTCTGCCTTGCACGCAGCCAACATGGCCGACCCGAGTTCGATTCCTCCGCCCCTCTCGGAGAGCCCGGCAAGCTACCGAGAGTATTCAATATGCCAGACACAGTAACAACAAAGTCTCCAATGGAGATGTTACTGGGCCCGCTCGAGCAAATCGACGATCAACGGGAGGGCCTTTACTTTACTTTACTTTACTCGAGAGTCAGGAGTAACCCCTGAGCACTGCCGGGTGTGGACCAAAAACAAAAACGAAAGCGTGAAGAGCAATGTACAGAGTGGCAGAAAAAGTTTTCAAATCATCAACCCAATAAAAGTATAATATTCAGAAATAAAAGAATTCCTGCACTTTACAACAAGGATGAATCAACCTTACTAAAAACAAAGAATCTGAATAGACATTTCGCCAAAGATGTGCAAATGACCGATAAACACCCACTGAAAAGCTGCTCAAGATCTCATATACCTTGTATCATCAGTAACTAGGGAAATAAAAATCGACCCCACAATGACATAGTACAAGTACTAGGATGGCCATAAAGAGAAAAAAACAACAAAAAATTTTTCAGTGACAGTGGAACTACGGTGACCATAAAGACAGTAGTGGAAAATCTCGGGTACTGTGCAGTGGTGAAGGTACAGTAAGTGTGTACATCAAAAGTGTAAAAAATAGGGGTTAGAGTAAGAGTATAGAAAGGAGGGAGCGAGCCTTGTGTGTGGTCAGCTCAGGTTCAATTCCCAGCACCTCACAGGGCGTCCGAAGCACGGCCAGGAGTGAAACCTGAGCACAGAGCCAGGAGTAAGCCCCAAGCACCACTGGCTATGCTCCTCCCCCTCCTATACTATCGCAATCATGTTACTTAAACTGTAATTAACCATTTATTTTTCTTAAATAATGTGGTGTAAGATACGAAACAATTTGAACCCCTGAATCCTGGATGGGTATGCAAAACGGTGTGGCCACTGAAGAAAAGCCGTTGCTCAGAAAACTAATACAGAATAACCACATGGTCCAGTAATCCCACTCCTACACCCATACCCAAACAAATGGGAAATGGGAACTTAAACAGACATCTGAAAACCAATATTCACTGTAGCATTACTGACAATAATGGAACAGTAGAAACAATCCAAGTGTCCACTGACAGATGAATGGATAAACAAAACTGATATAGACACACAACAGAATATATTATCCAGCCACAGAAAGATCAAAGTTCTTGTTGTACAAGCTACAACATGGGCAAATAGATACTATCTGAGTCTACTTATACGAGGTACCTAGAAGATTCAAATTCAGGAAAACAAAAAGTATATTAGAGGTTATCAGGATTTGGAAGAGGTGTTTGGGTAACCCTGAGTGATGCACCATTAATCACAACAAAACAGCTCATTCTGTATGCATATTTGACTACAAACAATAAAAAATTAAAAGAAAAATAAAAGTACATTTAAAAGCACAAACAGCAAACACAAAAGCCTTCAGAAAGGCACCACAGTACCTTTCTACGCACTGCGTCCTGGACATGGGGGGCTGACACCTTCGATTGTGAGCTTCCCGCGCTGCAAGTCTAGCTTCCGACAGCTGAAAGAGTAAAAGTTAACAATCTACATCATGAACTATGAAGCTTACTACAACTCTCAAAACTGGATATCCCTTCTGATATCAAAAGAGAAAAACCCATGCGATCAAGACCGACTACACACACACACACACACACACACACACACACACAAAGCATTCATTTCAGAGCATTCAACTGGGAACATTCAAGAGCAGTTGGAAGCAAGACCAATATGTCAAAGCAGGGAGAGATTAATAAACACACGTTTGACCTAAAAAGTCCACAGTATCCTAAAGGCTGCTGTCCAGTAAGTATAATAAAACTGAAAATTCTCTAATCAAAACGTTCAGAAACTTGGGGCCAGAGGGATAAGACAGTCAGTAGGGAATCTGTCTTGCCAAAGCCAATCCAGGTTCGATCCCCAGCATCCTATATGGTCTCCTGAGCCCACCAATAAGCACAGAGCAAGGAGTCATCCTTGAGCATCACTAGGTGTGGCCCGAAAAACAAAGATCAGAAACTAATAGGAGCTGAGCTCAAGTGGGCACCAAACTCCAAACAGTATCTGTGAAAAACATGTGGATGCAAATGTTTACAAAAACAGAATGGGGGGGGGGGGGGCAGAGCAATGATACAGCAAGTAGGATGTTTGCCTTTCATTTGGCCGACCCGGGTTCAATCCCCAGCATCACATGTGGTGCCCTAAGCACATCTGAGTGCAGAGCCAGGAGTAACTCCTGAGTACTGCTGGGTATGCCCCCAAAGGTAAAAATAAATAAGTAAAAAATTTTTTTCTAAAACATTTGCTGAAATGATCACTGACCCTTCCACATCCTAGATTCTTCCAGAAGAAATCTCACCTAGCAAAGGAATGATGAGCCACTCAATACTAACACCTCAGAAAGTCTTAAAGAAAACAAATCTTTGGGTCAGAGATAGTACAGCAGGTAGGGTATCTGCCTTGCTCACGGTCAACCCAGATTTGATCCCTGGCACCAATATGGTCCTTCAAGCCCTTCCAGGAGTGATCCTTGGGCGCTACCAGATGTGTCCCCTCCCCCCGCAAAAAATAAAAAGAAAACAAGTCTTTGAAACAGGAGTTTAAGTCATCAATAGTCGAAGTATATTATAAACTCCAATTTCTTGAGTTAAAAAAAAAAACACAAATTATCTTCACCTTCTTCAACTCCCCAAAGAGGTTCATCTTTGTGGGAGGGATTGCTCAAGGGTGCAGAATGCATGCTTTCCAAGCAGGAAGCAGGGACTGACATGGTGCCCCCGGCTCTCCAGTTCCCCCAATTGGACTAGCCCCTGAAGACAAGGTATGATCCCCAGACGAAAGAAGATTATCTTGTATAAATCTACTTTGATATTTGAAGTTTGTTGGTGGTGGCAGCTGTGCTCAGCAGTACTGAGGGGGTACAGAGGGGCTGGAGGGTCCGTTAGTGATCCTCTGTTAACAGGTCACTGGTTCAGTAACGGGTCTGAGGATGCGCAGCAGGTCATGCCAGATTACCCCAGGCCACACCTGGAGGTGCTAGGATGCTCTGGAAACCACGTGGTGCCAGGAATCAAACCCAGATGGGTGGCACATGGGCCTGGGGTTACTCCTGGCTCTCACTCAGGAATCACTCTTGGTGGCGCTGGGGGACCATACTGAACCCAGGTTGGCCACTTATAAGGCAAATACTGTCCTGTTGCTGGGTCCCCCTTCACCCACCCACCCTTGAAGTTTTTATTGGTTGAGCTAGTTCAGTAAATAGTCACACACATCAAAACACATATTTACCCAAAGTTGCTATACCTTTTCATCTTCCCACTGGAAAAAGTTACAGTCTTTTCTATCTCTACAAGCTGAACAGGCATAAAACCTCCGTGCTGCTTCTTTCCCCTGGACCACTTTCACAAACAGAAGGGTGGGCCCTAGTTCCCGAAGAGGAGAAAACACGTCAAAAGCGTCATCTGCAGTTTTGAGCTTCCAACTTCACCGCCCTATGGTACAAGTGTCAGTTCAGGCCCAGTTCTGTGGTTCGACTTCAAGCGGGGCTTCTGATCATCACATTCACTCTTGCGGGCACACTTTCTTTTTTTTTTTCCTTTTTGGGTCACACCTGGCGAAGCACAGGGTTTCCTCCTGGCTCTGCACTTAGGAATTACTCCTGGGGGTGCTCAGGAGACCACATGGGATACTGGGAATCGAACCCGGGTCGACCTGTGGAAGGCAAACGCCCTACCCGCTGTGCTATTGCTCCAGCTATTGCTCCCATAAGGTCCCCTGAGCACCTCCAGGAGTGATTCCTGAGTGTAAAGCCAGGAGCAACCCCTGAGCATCGTTGGGTGTGATGAAAGAAAGAAAGAAAGAAAGAAAGAAAGAAAGAAAGAAAGAAAGAAAGAAAGAAAGAAAGAAAGAAAGAAAGAGGGAGGGAACCTAGGATCCGTTTGGAAAGAGAAAGAAAAGAAAAAGGAAGAGAGAGAGAGAGAGAGAGAGAGAGTGAGAGAGAGAGAGAGAGAGAGAGAGAAGAAAAACCTAGGATCCGTTTGGGAGGAGAAGGAGAGGGAGGAGAAGAGGGAGGAGAAGGAGGAGGAGAAGGAGGAGGAAGAGGAGGAGGAGGAGGAGGAGGAGAAGGAGATGGAGGAGAAGAGGAAAAGAAAAAAGAAAAGAAAAGAAAAGAAAAGAGAAAACCCAGGATCCGTTTGGGAGCAGGAATTCGCTCCTGGCTCTCCTAAGGGTGGCTCACTGGATAGGCAGCCGAGCAGCCATCCAACGCCCCAGAATCACGCCCTATCAATCACGAAGCCCCCTTGTCCTCTCGGCCTCGAGTCTTCAAAGCACATAAGTAACAGGGTGCGAGCCGGGGCGCCAGGGCGGGGCATGGCGGCAAATACAACGTCGGCGAGAGGAGCTTCTCCCCGAGCCCGCACGGGCACGGTGGGCGGCGGGAGCGCGCTCAACGCCGGCCCTGGCGCCCGCAGGCCGAGCCCAGACGCGGACCCACCGTGAGGACACAGCGGGGCGGGGTTGGCGGGGTGCGACTGGAGCACCACGTCCACCCCCGAGCTGCCCTGACGGCCCAGCGTGCCCGCAGTCTGCGCGGGATCGAGCCGCTCCATGGGGGCCGCCATCTTGGCCCCGCCTTCCCGACAGCCTCCGCGGGGAGAGCCGAGCCAGCTGAGGCCGAGAGAGAGAGAGTGCCGCCGCCACTCCCAGCGAGTTACAGCGCCCCCTCGAGCTCTGGGGGAGCCGAGCCGTCACGGCCGAGGTCACGCCCCCAAACGCAGACCCCGCTCGGCTCAAGCAATTTGAAAAGTCATGAGCAAGGAAAATCGGAGGCGCAAAGGATTCTCAAGGGAAACCAGAACAGAACAGGAATATGCCTCCTTAAGTTCTGGGCCCCGAGATAGAGCCTGGTTACAGTGCCCATTCCAAGTTGCTCCTGAAGCAGAACAGGATGATGAGCTTCCTACAGACATCAGGTGTTACTCCTCGACTTTATTCGTCCAATAACGGTCCTCCCATCCCCAAATAGCTCAAAGTAGTCAGAGAAAGTAGCCGAGGCTGGAGGAGTATATTGCAATGGCAATGGGGGCCCAACTCGTTTCTCTATCTTCTGTAACAAAGTCCCAGTCTTCTTTGGGAAGCCAACCTTTCCCAATTTCAGCCCAGGTAGCTTGAGTGGCCAAGAACCATAGGATTGACTAGACTTTGTTTTGTTTTGTTTGGGGTCTCAGGGGGGTACTATGGATGACCCAGCCTTGCAAGTTGCTAGGGAGGTCATGTGATGGCAGGGAGCAAACCAGGAACCCCGTAAAAAAACAGGAATATATTCTGCCCCTTTATCGGTCTCCCTAACTCACTTGGATGTTTGAGGATGGCTTGAGATTTCTGCTGGAACGACAAGGAAGGAGTGATAGTGTTGTGCTGGCATGAGCCGTGAATAAACAGAGAGAGAGAGAGAGAGAGAGAGAGAGAGAGAGAGAGTGCTCAGGATAGGATAGTGAGCTTATTAGAGGCTCAACGCTGAGGACCCCAAGTCAAAAGAGAAAGAGACTTGGAGCCCTGTCTGCTGAGGGGATCTCTTTTTTTTCCTCTAAGAGTGAGCTATAACCTACAAAAAAGAAAAAAAATAAAGCATCTTTCCCAGCCTTCAGGTGCCCCCTCAAAACAAAAAATGTCTGTGTCAGTATCTCTTACGTATGTGGTGTCACCTTCATGTGTCATCTCCCATGCACTCCCCTAAGTCTGGCGGGCCTCGTGCTCTCCCGTCCATCTGGTGGGCCCTTAATCCTGCCCGATTTGGGCCTTACAGAGCAAAAACTCTTCCTTCCTTCTCTGGCTGACCTTGGGATAGATTTCAGCATCTCAGTTCTCATTACATTACAGCTTCACAATTTTCATTACATTCAGTTTCTTATTGGCAATTTTTTTTCTTTTTGCTTTTTGGGTCACACTTGGCGATACACAGGGGTTACTCCTGGCTCTGCACTCAGGAATCACCCTGGCAGTGCTCAGGGGACCATATGGTATGCTGGGAATTGAACCCGGGTTGGCCGCGTGCAAGGCAAACACCCTACCCGCTGTGCTATTGCTCCAGCCCCATTGGCAATTTCTTATTTGTCATTACGATAGTTGTTTTGTCATCTCAGTGATACTCATAGTGTTGAATTCTTCTGTGTCAAGAGGTCAGGGACCAGAGAGATAGTACAGTAGCTAAGGCACTTGCCTTACATGTGGTAGCCCCAGGTTCAATCCTCAGTACCACATATGGCCCCTGAGCCTGCCAGGAGCGGTCCCTGGGTGCAGAGCCAGACGTAAGACCTGAGCACCACCAGTTGTGGCCCACCAAAAGACAAACCAAAATGGAGGTTCGGCTCTCCAGAATTGCCTGAACTAGGTCCTTCGTGTAGCGTCTCCTGAGCAAGACTTTCAGCGGAGTAACTCAGCTCTTGAGGGTCCAGATGGAAAAGGCTGGCTCTTGGAGTCACACTGTCATGGATGTCATCTTGTTCTGCTGCCAGTTCTTATTTTATTCTGTCTTTTTTTATTTTTCTTTTTGGGCCACACCTGGCAATGCTCAGGGGCTACTCCGGCTCTGCACTCAGGAATTACTCCTGGCGATACTCGGGCGACCATATGGGATGCTGGGAATCGAACCTGGGTTGGCTGCATGCAGGCAAACACCATCCCCATGGTGTTATTGCTCCAGCCCCTGTTCAGTCTTCTTAACCTTTCTGTGCCTGTTTCTTTGTAACATAAGAGTACGCACAGTTAGCTACTCTCTTGCATCCTGTTGGGAAGATCAGAAGAGTGGGTGTATGTGAAGCACTTACCAGAGTGCCCGGAGCGCCATATGCAGTAGCGTTTTGTTATTATAATAGTTCAGGAGTAGAGCAGAAGCTGATCCAAGATGTCTCCACTCCAGTGCTCAGCTTTCTCCCGTTCTCTAGCCAGATGAGCCATCCCAACCCTTGCTACCAGTTCCTCTTCTACCCGCTGACCCCTTTACTCAGTTAGCACCTAATTCTCGTCCACGATTGCTTAGATATCACCTCCTCTGGGAGAGACATCCCTGAACCCCAAGATTAGGTCAGAAACTCCTCTAATGTGCTCCTGTATCATCCTGACTTTCGTCCTCTACATTGCAATGGGCTAATTGCTTCTCTCTGCACTAAGCATTTTGGCAGTAATGGTTGTAGAGGGTTCTGACACCCATCAGCTGGTATACAACATATATTGACTACACAAGCAGGGGGGCCAGAGAGATAGTGCAGTGGGTAAGGCATTTGCCTTGTACACGGCAGACCCAGGTTTGATCCCTGGTATCCCATATGATCCCCTGAGCACAAACTGGGAGTAATTCTTGAGTGCAGAGCCAATAGCCCCTGGTATCACCAGATGTGATCAAAAAAACCAAAAAAAAAAAAAACAAAGATAACTAAAAGCTGATCCAAATACCTGAGACTATGTGAGCTGGAGGGAACCACTGGGTCACGTCACTTGTGATTCTAATAAGGGCCATGGCACCACCTAGGACACATTTGAGGATGTGTGGAGATGGTTTCAGCTATCACTGCTGTAGGGACCAGCAGTCCTTGGAATTTAGAGAGAAAGGATTGGGCACTAAATGCTTGGTTAGAATGGCTCCACACAACAAATAATTACTTGTTTGTTTTTGGATGAGCTTTGGTGCCATATTCAGCGGTGCTCAGAGACCATTCCTGGCTCTGTACTCAGGGGTCACTTCTGGTGGTGCCAGGGACTGAATCAGGGTGACCACACGTGAGGTCAATGCCTTAACCCCTTTATTATTTGAACCCCACATAACTTCTTTTAGATTCTAAATTTTAAAGCCTGTGAAGAATTTTATGCAGTTGAATGATCAGAAGTCTGAAGTGACTTGATTCTAAACTCGAACCTTGATTTATACAGACACAAACTGTGTTTTCTATGAACCTCTTTAGTGTTTATTTTCATTTAAAAATCGCCCCTTTTCCCATTGTTACCGGTGCTGTTGGACCCAGGGTCCCATGTTCAGCATCATGGCTCAGACAGCTGGGGTGCACTGGAGATCCCCACCCTGTTGTGACACCAGCCATCACAAATGGGAGTGAAAACAGGGATCATGCTCAGTAGGTGTGGTTCTGCCTGGGGTCGAACTCAAGGTTTCCTGCCTGAAAAGCAAGTGCCCTGCCTCTGAACAACCTCCAGGACCCTTCATTCAGTACTAATCTAGCTGAATATTCAGATGATGGAAGCACTATATATATATCAAGGGGAAATATCCTTTGCTTTGCCCAGAAAGGAAAAGAAATGCTCACCATTGAGGAGAACTCAAAAGGCCAATAGCCACAGTTCATGTTATCTGAGGCCCTAGGACCCATCTGCTTCTCCCTTTTGAGCTGTTAAACTTGTGGTGATTATAGCTATCTGCAAGTCTGAGCAACAAGCCATTCCAAAACACTGGACTTGATCAACATCCTACTTTGGGATCTGGGAGTGAGCTAGGGATCGAATGCTCTAGTTGGATTTAGTTCCAAACTTGCTCAAGGTGACAGACATAGAATGATTGCACTCATGGACAGACAAAATGATTGCACTCATTTATGAGATATAGAAAACATACTATGAGACTATTACCCAAGGCCAGTAGAAACGAAGGCCAGGAGGACACTAGAAACAAGTGCCAGTTGGAAGATTGCCACAAGTGGAGGGGAGAGGGCAGTTGGGGCAGAGAAGCGTCTGCTATGACAACGAGAGTTGGAAATGATCACTCTGGACAAGGACTGAATGCTGAAGGTAGGTAAAGGGAAATATATGATAACCATTCAGCACCAGTGTTGCAAATCATAATGTCCAAAAGAGGAGAGAGGAGAAGGAGGAGGAGAAGGAGGAGGTAGAGGAGGAAGAGAAGGAGGAGGAGGAGGAGGAGGAGGAGGAGGAGGAGGAGGAGGAGAGGAGGAGGAGGAAGAAGAAGAGGAAGAGTAGGAAGAAGAAAAGGAAGAGGAGGAAGAAGAAGAAGAAAAGTGCCTGCCATAGAGGGGTGGGGGATGGAAGGAGGGGAACTGGGGCATTGGATGGTGGGAAATGTACACTGGTGGTGACGGGATGGATATTAGAACACTGTATGACTGAAACCCACTCAGGAACAACACCGTAACTGCGTATCTTATTGTAATTTAATTTCAAACAAGCAAAACAAAAAACATTGCTCAAGGGGAAGGAGAGATAGTTCAGTGGGCATGATGCTTGCCCTGCACACAGCTGTCTAGGGTTTGATCCCAGGTACCCATATTGTCCCCTGAGCCTCACCAGGAGTGGTCACTGAGTACCACTGAGCATAGCCCCAAAGCAAACCAACAAACCAACCAAAATAAAAAAACACTTGGTTCACTAGACTTGGCGCTTTGAGGGGTGGACTCATGTCTGCTCCATGGTGCCCTCTGAGGGCGCAGACTGAAGGGGCAGGAGCCACCCGGGATAGTCTTCCTACAATACGGACAAGGAGCAAATGGGCACGTGTGCTCTGTGGCACGTCTCAAGCTTGATTTCATTCCCACTTGGCCATACTGGCAAACTCAGCATCAAGAATAAGAAGGTAAAATTACGCTGTTCCCTTAAAGATGGA